CTTTGATTCAACACAGAAAGTTTCTCTCCAGTAGAGGTTTTCTTATGCAGAGTAATAAAGTCTAATCCATACTCATTACATTCAGATACATTTTCATTATTTTCAGTTCTCACATGTGTTTTAAGGCATGAGTGTTCACTGAAGATGTCTCTACATTGCTTAGAGTTGCTAAGCTCCCCTCCACTGTGGCTTCCTGCCTATTGACAAAAGGATAAATAATAATTAAGGGTTGGTCAGATTAACAGATTCTATTCATCTAAAGATATAAACATTATGGTAATTATTTTCATTTTAACCAATTTCACTATGTGCATATGATTTCTTTCCAGTGCCTGAATGCTATACCATCTACTTTATCTTACAACCATTTCTATAGACATTCATGAAATTGTTTTAAAAACTCACTGTTAAGTTACAAATATGACATGTATACTTGTGGGAACTCTGAAACAAGTGTCAAGCTAGGTTTCAAGCACTGCCAAATCATTATATTCTATCTCTTCAGAGCCCTTATTGCTTCTTGGGTCAATGCCATTTTTCTTATTCTGTTGATTTTCTATAACAGAATTTCCAATCATCCCTGAATGTAAAAACTAATAAATACCTCTTTGTTTATCTTACCAATAGTATCCCATTGGAGGCTGGTCCCCACAAAAAATCCTGCTGAGGTGCCAACTCTTTAGTTTTAAGTTGCACTTTCCATTCTGAAGTTAAAGAGAAAAAAAATAACAGTTTGGAGATAGAAGTAGTAGAGAAAAGGCATTAAAAATGATAGGGATCATTTGTATTTGTTTTCAAATTAAACAGTAACAAAAACAGAAAGCAAAGATAGATCTGAAGATTCTGAACATGCCAATAATTTGGCAACAATATAGGTATGTTGTCAAAATTTTTAGGTAGTTTATTATAGACTGATTTGATGAAAATTAAAAACTAATGGTGAACACAAAGATTATTATAGAAGGAAAGGAGAAGTATAGGACAAGAAGCATACATCAAATCAGTGAACATGAAGAAGAAACATGTTTTATTGTTAGACCACAGGAAAGACTGAGTAGTCAGAATGTAATAATAGTTGGAAAGCTGAAGATTTCGTAACTTTGAGAAAAAATGGCCTCAACCTTCAGAGATAAAGCGTAGATCTTTAAAAGTATCCTCATTAGAAAAAATAAATAAAAATGTCTTCATTACACACCCAGATATACTGGACTCCACATTAAGCAGGATTATTCTTCATTAACACTCACCATGAAGAACTCTCTGTGCAGTCCTTGACTCTGCTTGTTCCAACCAAGAGATCAGACTAGGTTTGAAGAGCTGACATCCTGTGTGCCGAGAAAAACACATTAATGAAACAGGTTAATGTAAGAGATGATAAATCTTCCTATAATTCAGGAACCACAGTTCTAACTAAAGGCAGTAAAATTATCTCAAAAGGGAATTATTGCCTCTGTCTGTGCTCCCAAAAGACTGGTTATCCCTGAAGTTCAAGTTCGGGGTTATAGACATAGAAAGCATGAAGACATTTCTCCAAACAGGAAATTAAGTAAAATAAAGAGATCTTCATTTTCATGGGAAAATAACTACACCTGGCATTTTTCAACACTATAGTGTGTTAAGATTCACCAAGAGAGCCTATGAAAACACAGATGGCAGGGAACCAACTGCAGAGCTTCTATGTCAAAGGTGAGGACTGAGAACATACATTTCAAACAGAGTAATGGTGATGTTTTATCTGATAACAAATTTTGAAAACTAGATAAACATTTATCAGGGCAGAGACTAAGTCTATTATTTCCTATTGTATTCAGAGTAGATATCGCTGATCCTGCAATACAGTAAGTATGGAACATAAACCATCCCATATAGCAGGCTACAAGGAGTAATACAAGTCTTACCTACTATGGCCAAATTCTTGTAGTTCTCCAGCATCACATCTCTGTAGAGATTTCTCTGAATTGGGTCCAGTAAAGTCCACTCCTCTGGGGTGAAGTCCACAGCTAGATCATCAAAGGTCACTGAATCCTAAACCATCACATATATGCTGGCTTGAGCCACATAATATGTATGCCAATGTTCACTGCAAAATAAGGAAGTGGGACCCTGTTCCCACAGAGAGTTCTGAAGGCTCCCATTGTCCACTCTGGTGTTCAGTGCTCCTAGGAACTCTTCTTTCTGTCTACACTCATTGTCAATTTCCTTGAGCACCATGGCTTTAACGACACCTCTTATACATACTTTGATCTCACCACAAACAGACCAGTAGCTCATTTTATTTCCCTCTATAGCAGCATACTGTTGAGCACATTGCAGATGCTTGATAAACACTGAATGGATAAATTCTATGACCAAAGGATACTTTCATTTCCTTTACCACGTGTCAGAGCACTCAGAAAAATAAAAAATATGCAGTTGGGACCATTAGGGTAGAGTAATTAGTTAACAGTGAAATATTGGGACTTTCAAGGTCACCAGTACAACAGGTTCCACTTCCTAGGGAAATTAAACTCATGAGTCAGTTCTTGAAGGAAGTTTTATTGGCTTTAAGAAGCTCTGTATACAATTCTGTGTCGAAGGAAAGGTGTCTACCTGATGGATACAAGGACATTTTGGAAAGGATGCACTTCTGCATACCTGGTAACAATTTGTCAGACAGTTAGTCACTATTTCTACCTCTGCCTTTTCTGCATGAAGGCAGACTGAGTCCCTGTAAAAAAGACCCTGTAGAAAGAAGGCATGAGGACTCAAAGTGGACTGTAATTCGCACATTCGTGTGCCTGAAGTCATTCTATCATAGTTTGAAATTCCCATATAATCCTGTTCACACATTGCATATGCACACACACATATACACATTCTACTGCAATACAATGCCAGAGCAATCTTGTCTCTCCTAAAAGCTGAAAAAGGGATGATCATGCTCCCATGCATGCTCCCATGCTCCCATGCATGCTCCCATGCTCCCATGAGGAAAGGGGTAATAGTCTTATTTTACAAGAAAGGAAACTTAAGCCTGGAGAAATGTGACTTTTTATTTGCCCATGGTGATAAAACTTAGGAAAAAGACTGCAGCACCTCTTTCTAAAGTACACATCCCGGGGGGCTTAAGAACATGGCATCCCCTGACCCACTTTAGTACCTTGGAAAAGTGCCAGAAGTATGATTGCTTGGGTTCAGGTCCCTGGATTCTGTGTTGTACAGGGAACGTAGAGCAGAGTCTCTGAATAAGAGCAGCAACAAGGACTTACCATGGGACAAATCTATGGCTGCCATCCTGTGAAGCTGATGGCTGAATATGCATGAATGGTCCAAGGCTGTCCTTCGTTTTCTTGGTTCCAAGGCTCACTTCAGGATGGCTTATGAATACACACGGATAGAGGCAATCTCCATTCTATTTACACAGGGTTAATGGAATTCTGTTTGCATCAATCATTAACCAATAAGCATTATTTATCAGTCATCAGACATCACACATTTACTCTCTCTGCAGGTGATACATGTGAAACCCATGGAAAACAGTATACTCTATATTAGTAATATCAATCGCCATTTACTGAGGTATGTGCCAGAAGTTGGCCTTGCAACTTTATATATATCAGCTCACTTATCATGATTATTCTATACAGTAGATTTCATTACCCCTATTTAATATTTAAAAACTCTACATGCAGACAACTCTAGTATTTGGCCCAGTATACCCAGTTCAGAACTGGTGAGCCAGGTAATTTTGTATCTAACCTCTAATCTCCTGTGGTTAACTCCACACATGACCAGAGTCTGTATAAATCTGCACAGTACAAGTAGTCACCAGCCACATGTGTTACTGAGCACTTCATATGAACCCAGTGTGACTAAAAAACAAATTCTTTAATAAATAAAAAATAGAACAGAAGCCCAAATACTGATCTATGGAATGGTATAGGAATGATGGCAATCGCTGAAAGCTACAGTTAATTTTCCATGAACCAAATTCACTCTCACAAAAATTCAACAGCCCTAACTCTATGAAGTCACACTGGATTACAAACATCACTGGGTATAAACTGTACCCACTACCACAGGTCTCAAACTGGGGATTCTTAGGCTGCACAGGCCCACAAATGTGCCTCCTTTGGTGACATCTGCACCAAATATTTTACTTTATTTTAATTTTAGATATAATTAACGCACAATGAAACACACAAATCTTCAGTACCCAGAGGATGAATTCTTACAATTACATACACTCAAGTAATCAAAAGTGTAAACTAGATACAAAATATGTTCATCTCCCCAGAGAACCAGCCTGACTTTTCTAGTTCTTTCACACTTACCTCCAGATATGTACTTTCATTTATAAGACACTGTATAGGTACATTAGGCATGGCACTTGTCTTTCTCAAATGATATATCCTAATTTAATTTTTCTTGATTGTTTAAAGAGACAATTATTAGAGGAAAATGTTAAAATCCCCCTTGGAATTGTGGACTTGTCTATTTTTTCTTAATATATCTAATATATATTCTTCTATACATTTTGTAACATAACGCATGGATACATATAGTGAACCTTAATATTTTTGGAGGAAAACAATCACAATGAACTCTGTGTATCTCTAGGAATGTTCTGAGATGATGCTGTGTAACACTGGGATTTGCTTTCCTCTACAGAGTATTTTTTTTATTAGGTCATAACTGTGTGCGTTACTACATTTATCTGCAGAGTTTTTGCATCTTCTGGGCAGCGTTACATGTCCTTTGGATGCTAATGTTCCCCTTTACCTGACTAAAGGCACCCAATGATTTTTGTCAGACAACAAACAAAGATCCTTCCAGGTAACACCTATCAGGGGTCTGCAAACTTTTTAAACTGCTAAGCAGGACAGCAGTGGCAAAAACACCCAGCAGGCTGGATAAATGTCCTGGGCAGCTGCATGTGGCCCACAGGCCATAGTTTGAGGACATTTGATCCTAGATTTATCCTAGATTTTAAGTAAGTCAATGTTTGTAACATAATATAAATCAGAATTTTCCAGAAATGTGCTAAATTACTCAAAGAATGCAAGGGTGAGGGGAACACTGTCTCCTTCCAAGGACTTGCCCCCACCATTGCCTGTCTGCTCCTGAAGTGGACACTCAGTGCTCAGTGTGGTACCCTTACTAGACCCCCCAATTCTCTTTGGTCATAAGCCCAATAGCTAGGGCCTATCTGCACCCCAAAGTGTTGCTTCCTGCTTTCTCAGAAACCAACTCTGACCCAGGCAACCCACTAGCCAGTGGGGTTGCAATGATACCATCTGAGCCCCTGTCTTGGGAAGAGGGCACCCTTATGAGGGCTATCCTTGGGTACTCTGTCAACTCTAGCATGTATGCTGGAGTTCACTTTACATCTCTGTATTACACTTGTGTTAAATCAAAGTGAGATTTCTATCTTCTCACTAGACCCAGCCTTATACAGAATTAAGAATGGATGGTGTTCTCTGGAGATGAACACACAAAGATCAGAATTCAGACCTACTTTGCTCAAACTTCTAGGCCTGAGCATAGAGCTGAGATTCTTACCAACAGAAAAAACATTTCAGCAGTATCACAGTAATCTAGCTGGTATCTATGGCTGATTATAATGAAGGGCCTGTTTCAAAAGGGACCATGAGAATCTTACTTACACTACCGTTGGTATTTGCTTCAGTATAAGCCTCTCAAGCATTTAATCCAAATGATCTAGCAGAAACAATGAAATGATACCCCAAAGTATCCATGGTAAATAGGATTCTGTCAGAAGCCTCTGGCAAACACCAATAAGAGACTCACAGTATAGATCTCTAGTAGTTTGGAGCAAATCTATACTCCTTTCTGCCGGAAACTTCTGCGGTTAACATTTTGAGAGTTTAAACTATTTACCATTAGGTGCATGGTAGGGATTGGACAACCAACCATGGGACATCATACCAAGTGACCTGAGCTTCCCATCATGAACTGGGTATTGTCTGACCCAAATAATGGTAAGTTTAGGCATACACAGTTGTAAACAACCATTGCTGGAGATGGCACATAAGACATTGAGCTCTGGGCTTGGCACCTGTAGCTCAAGTGGCTAAGGCGCCAGCCACATACACCAGAGCTGGTGGGTTTTAATCCAGCCCAGGCCTGTCAAAAAACAATGACAACTATAACCAAAAAATAGCTGGACGTTGTGGTAAGTGCCTGTTGTCCCAGCTACTTGGGAGGCTGAGGCAAGAGAATCGCTTAAGCCCAGGAGTTGAAGGTTGCTGTGAGCTGTGATGCCAGGGCATT